TACCTATTGTATCTATATATAGCCGTTGTATGTTCACTAATGAGATTAATCAAATACTATTCATCTTCTTCTTCCTCTCCGGTTACTCCATATTTGTTCTTGATTTCTTTAGTTTTCAACCATGCTCTGATACCACATGTAAGACTTAATAGAGTTCTCTAACTATTGCATAAACTTGCATCATAATTTATGTAAAAGAAATCGAAACGGAAAACTTGAATTTACAATCTTCAAGATCTTAAACAATATGATTTTCATAATCTTTAATCGGAAGAAAAACATACCTTGATTTATTTTAATTCGTCGAATTTTGAACTACAGTTTCTCTCCCTTCTCCCTTCACTTTCTTCTTTCATGAGTTGGTCCTCTATGGAGCAAGATAACTCCTCCTTATGAGAGAGAGAGAGAGAGGACCAATAGTTATTTCCTGCGGATTGGTCATAATAACCGCTCGTAGGAGTTATTTTACAATAACTCATAGGAGTTATTTTACAATAACCGCTTATAAGAGTTATTTGATCAAACGGTCCATAAACGAATGATCAAATTATTTTTTCTTGACCAATAGGATTTAAACATAAATAATTAAATTTCAATAATTCAAACATATGGGCCACATAATGGTTTATATAATTAAATATATATTCTTAAATAATTATTGCGACGTCTCGCAAAATTAATATATTTAATTATTCTAACAGCTGCCACAAAAATTTCTAAACAATAATGAAAATGCAATAAGAAAATAATAGTCAAACAAAATTATAATTGTCATTTGAAAAGAAATCTGACGAGAAAGTTTTTTTTAGGGAAATTAAGGGTCATGTCCAACTTTCATTAACTAAACAAGGAGATTATAAGACACATGCCAATAGCAAAGCTTTGTAATACAAAAGAAATGGTTCGATGTAAGTGTTATATTTGCAGCCAAAATAGAAAGGGCCCAGTCAACAGATAAAAAGAAAGAAAAAATCCAAATTTTTTAAATGGAAAATCAGAAAAGCTGCCTTGCAAGTCAACAAGAGAATTCAGGAGTATCTGTTCGAAAGTTACGAAAATTATCGTCTGGTTGCAAAATTTCCTGCACATGGGGTTTTCCGCTTTGTCCCAACTTAAAAAAGCTAAAATGCCAATTTAAATATCTAGATAATCATTAGAAAGTAGGCACCGACATTGGCCAAAAATACATTTGCAACCAAGAAGTCATAATTGATGTTAACCTAATTAGCAAAATCATTCGCAAGTCAAATGGCCCAGAGCACCAAAACATTGCCCAATCAAGTAAATTATCGCTTCCATCATAAATGAAGTCGAATCTAGATATAATGCAGCAGTAAAAAAAAAAAACTTCATATCCAAAGAAACTTTAGCTATTCGAAAATTATTATAGTAATTATGATCATTCAGCAACACCAACCATCATTTAGATGCTATATATCCACAACAACTTCTTCCAATCAAATTAAAAAGTGCAGCCAACAGATAAAAGAAGAATGAAACAAGAGATGAAACAACAGTTGAGAAAAATCACAACCTTAGAGATTGTTCGGATAACTTTTTTACTATTTTGCTATAATTTTGTTTAACTGTTATTTTCTTGCATTTTTACTGTTTAAAAATTTATATGATAAAAAATATTTTTTTATAACAAATTTAAATATAGCAAAATTATTATTTTTATAATAACTTTATAACTTTATGGCAGCCAAGGTTTTGGTAGTTGTTCAGCGATCGGGTCGTGAGAGCCGGAACCGTACTCAACCTATTTTAAATTTTCTTTATAACCCATCGACGCAAACTGGCTTATCATTTTTGTCGCCCTAGCGCTTCTGTAACCACCGCCGCCGCCTTGTTAGGAGCTGCAGCGAAGATGGTAAGTCTTCAACCTTCTCATTCTATGTTTTGATTGCTCTTTTCCGATCTGACACTCCCGCTGCTTCTTTCTACCTTGATCTATTTAGCCTTCGTTCAAGACTTTCCGGATCAAGAAGAAGCTCGCGAAGAAGATGAGGCAGAACAGGCCTATACCCCATTGGATTCGTATGAGAACAGACAACACCATTAGGTGCTTTTCTAACTTTTGATCTATATGCTATTTGCTTTGGTACATGATCGGCTTCTTTGATTTTTCGCCGCTGATTCGTATACTTTCCTCTCAGGTACAACGCCAAGCGCAGGCACTGGCGCCGCACCAAGCTAGGGTTTTAAGGAGGCCCTTTCATTCCTCCCTTAAGGGGATGGGTTTAACGTTTCTGCTTTCCCTTTGGTTTATTGTATGAGCAATGATTTAAATTTCAGTTTTTGTACCTAAGAAATATTTCTAGGTTTGAGCATCTCCTGTCATTTTATGAGCTGCAGTCTGTTATTATGCTATTTCATATGCTGGTAAATTCGGGATTATTCTTCGATCGTTGTCTGATTAATATGGGCTTACCGTTGATTGTTTCTTTCTGATCTGGTATCCTTTCATGCATTACTTTAACTTCTTATCAAGGTTTAAGTTGTCGTCAACTATATGATATTTTGCTATATTGGCATTGCAGTGAGGTTATTTCCAAATTTTACTTATGTGCTTTTTCTGATAAATAATCATATATAATCATTTTAAGCTCCTCATAATGTATAATTGGTGGCTTAAACGATTTAAGTTAAAATAATGGTATGAAGTAAGGCAATTAGGTGCAATATTTTTCATATAAGATTCTACTTTTTAGAAATTGGAAAGGTAGGTGTGGTTGTTTGGCTATGGAAAGGATGTTTTGAAGGCATTGCTGGAGATTAAAGAGTATTATGCTCTTTATTTGTTTATTAGTCTTGACACAATATGTAAATATGCTGTTGTTGGAAATTAGGATCCACATGGAGTCCGCGTAGAATGTATATTTTGGGAACACAGGGAAATGCAATAATGTCATTGTATGCCTTTTTAATTAGAAAAATTCCTTGTATGGCACTTTTGGTGGAATATTTTTTAGTTCATTATATACATGTATTATGGTTTCTGCATGGTTTTGGATTAATTTTATTGTCATCATGAATGCAAGATCCATAGGGCGATTAGTTAGTCCTATCCATGAAGGAAACTGACTCTAGAAATGGCATTTGCCTGAAAAGTAATGATAAATATTAAATCCAGTTTTATCTATATCCTACCTCTAGTTGCCCTTGGTCTTAATAGCTTACTAGTGTTTTAAATGGATGTGTTGAATCACTTGGCCATATAGTGTGAAGCATAGTTGATGTGAAACCAATAGGAATTGCATTAGAGATTATAAAGAAATTGATTTAAGCTTTGCAATATAAACTAATGTTTCACAAGATTAGATGCTTAGACTTAAGGCCATCAATAATGTAAAGGCAATCAATTACAATATAGAATAACAATCACTTGAGAATGATCTCAATCATAAAGATAAACTTAAATATTGTAAACAAGAGATCCCACACTTAACAAATAAAAAAATCACCTTGAGTGTCCCTCACTCAAGCTCGTCTAGTAAGGGTTAGCGGGAAAGAATCTTAGCAAACCAAGTGATGCCACCAACGTTTAGAAGACACCTATGGTAATAGCTGCCCAACGAAAGTTCGCCAAAGAGGGAGAAGACGTGGGTGGGTGCCAAATGTTCCGCCGACTTCTGGATGGTAGATGCTCTTCCATTGATGACGCCAACGTGAATAAGGTATGATTGATGTAATCTTCTACGGAGTTATCCACTTATGGATTGAGGTTGAAGAAGGTGGCTTGATGGATATTTTGCACGCTTAGCAATAGGGAACCACCTTTCAAGTCTTGGACAACAATTACACGTTCCAGATCTTCTAAACAACAGATTTCAGGTGCTTGAAACTCGAAACAGCAACCAAGACAAGTCTGGACAGCAATGGGTCGAATTTCGGGGCTGGCCAGCTAGTGTGGGAGTGCAGAAATCAGTTGGACAGCAGTTTAACAACCTTAAGAATTCTGGAAAGCAACCCCGTTCAGGGAAAAATCAGGCTTTCATGATCAGTTGGAGGAAAGGGAATGGTGTAAGGGATTAGGAGTTCCTTGCGGTTCTCTCCTCCTTTGGAATTAGTTCTGAGAGCTAGGGGAGGGAGGTGGGCGGATAGGGCGAGTGGAAGTGGGAGCAGGCCGACGACATTAGGAGGGAGGAAGGAAATAGATGAAGGGTTTGATTGCTTGCCTGATCAGTAATTTTCAATTAGGAATAGATAAAATCAATCCCAATTTGAATTTTAAATTGGACTTAATTTGGACTTGAAAGCATGTTATGATAATTGACAAGAATTAATGAGAAAAAAGGAGGGGTGGGCGGCCTAGAGAAGGGGGGGAGGGGTTTGTGATCCACATTAAATGAATGTGGACCAAGGCATTAATTTGTGATTGAAGAGTAAATTTGAGATTTAATCTCAGATTAAGGTGTTTGGGGAATTATTTCTTAAAGAAATTAGACTCATTTAGAAAGCTTTGAAATTCAAATTATTTTGAATTTGAATTCAATTTATTTCCCAAATAACAAGAAGTCAAATATGGAAGGTAATAATGGGGGATTTGATTTGAGAATCCAAGGGGATGATGGGGTGGCCGGCGGTTGGATCTTGGGTTGGGAAGGGCCGACGGCTTAGGATGATGTGGGGGGATTTGGTCGTGAGGTAGAAGAGATGGGGGAAATCTTGCCGGCGGTGGGCTTGGGAAGGAAGGGGGCTTGGCCGGTGGGGGAGACAGGGAAGGGAGGCCGGCGGTCTAATGGGAGGTGGGGATAGTGGCCGGTGGAGGAGGGCTATTAGGCGGCTGTTGGGAAGAGCGGGAGATGGGCGGCCGACGGGTGATGAGGATTAAAGAGGCTGGC